TTCACCAAGTGCTGCGCCTGCCACGAAATCTGCACTTCGAGGTTCACAAAGTGTTGAAATCTGCACTTCGAGGTTCACAAAGTGCTGCGCCTGCCACGAAATCTGCACATCGAGGGTCACAAAGTGCGGCGCCTGCCACGAAATCTGCACTTCCAGGTCCACCAAATGCTGCGCCTGCCACGAAATCTGCACTTCGAGGTTCAACAAGTGCTGCTCCTGCCACGAAATCTGCACTTCGAGGTTCACAAAGTGCTGCGCCTGCCACGAAATCTGCACTTCGAGGTTCACCAAGTGCTGCGCCTGCCACAAAATCTGCACTTCGAGGTGCACAAAGTGTTGAAATCTGCACTTCGAGGTTCACACCTACCACAAAATCTGCACATCGAGGGTCACAAAGTGCGGTGCCTGCCACGAAACCTGCAAACGAGCCACATGTCCAAAAGTCACGATTCACTGCACCTGTCACGAAATCTGAGCTCTTCCACGATCACCACCGTGTCCAAAGTGCTGCGCCTGCCACGAAAACTACATTTCGAAGTAAAAGCTCCGATCCCTTGGACCTGTCACGAAAAGTCGACTTTGGAGCACCAAAACACAAGGTTTCCCTTGCACCTGCCACGAAAAGTGACCACCATGTACCAAAATGCGCACGGCGCCACAACGAGAGCGTCGTCGCTAGAAGCACAGATTCCGCGGGCCCCCAGATTCTGCAACCTTGCGCAGTCGAAGTGCACATGGACGATGTCGAGAGGCATGAATGCACTATAAATAGCAACAAATTAGCCGTTCACGGCCGCGTGCCTCAGCGATCAGCCGCGCACCTTCCTTTCCCCGTAAGAACCCCGTAAGAAGTGCCCACACTGTTTGGGGAAAGAGCTGCAACCCTCAAAGGCACCCCTCCCAATGTGGGTCACAGAGTTCGGGATGGTCAAGTTTGCCAAAGAGGTGCAATGGGCAAAGGGACTATCCCCAATGTGTGTCACTGAGTTCGGGATCGTCAAGTTTGCCAAAGAGCTGCAAT